TCTCCACCCAACCTGTATTTGTGCCTGGGGTTGCCACGTCCCAGGTGCAGGACCCTGCACTTGGCTTGGTTGAACCTCATGCAATTTGCACGAGCCCACCTCTCCAGCCTGTCCAGGTCCCTCTGGATGGCATCCCTTCCTTCCAGTGTGTCAACTGCACCACCATGCTTGGTGTCATCAGCAAACTTGCTGAGGGTGCACTCTATCCCACTGTCCATGTCTCCAACAAAGATGTTAAATAGTACTGGTCCCAATACCGACCCCTGCGGAACACCACTCGTTACTGGCTGCCACCTGGACATTGAGCCGTTGACTGCCACCCTTTGGGTGCGGCCATCCAGCCAGTTCCTTATCCACCGAGTGGTCCATCCATCGAATCCATGGGTTTCCAATTTTGAGACCAGGATGTCGTGTGGGACTGTGTCAAATGCTTTGCATAAGTCCAGGTAGATGACGTCAGTTGCTCTGCCCTTGTCTACCAAGTCTGTGGCAGTATCGTAAAAGGCCACCAAATTTGTCAGGCATGATTTGCCCTTGGTGAAGCCATGTTGGCTCTTTCCAATCACCACCTTATTTTCCATGTGCCTTAGCAAAGATTTCAGGAGTATCTACTCCATGATCTTGCCAGGTGAGACTGACTGGCCTGTAGTTCCCCGGGTCTTCTTTGTGTCCTTTTTTGAATATTGGAGTTATGTTCCCTTTTTTCCAATCAGTGGGAACTTCACCAGATTGCCACGATTTCTCAAATATGATGGAGAGGGGCTTAGCAACTTCATCTCCCAGCTCTCTCAGGACCCATGGATGGATTTCATCAGGTCCCATGGACTTATGCACCTTCAGGTTCCTTAAGAGGTCACGAACCTCATCTTCTTGTACTGTGGGTGGTTCTTCATTCTCAGAGCCCCTGTACTTGCTCTCCGTGACTTGTTCAGTGTGGCCAGGGCCCCTGCTAGTGAAGACTGAGGCAAAAAACTCATTCAGCCTTGTCTGCATCCTGGGTGACCAGGTCTCCCGCTTCCCTCTGGAGGGGACCCACAGCTTCCCTCGTCTTATCCTTATCACTCATATATCTATAGAAGTTATTGTTGTCTTTCACATCCCTGACTAGATTTAGTTCTGCCTGGGCTTTCGCTTGCCTGATCTGGTTTCTGGTGACTCGGACAGTTTCTCTGTATTCTACCCAGTCCTTCTTTCCCTGCTTCCACCCTCTATGGGCCTCCCTCTTGGTCCTAAGCTTGCCCAGCAGTTCCCTGCTCATCCATGCAGGCCTGCCAGCTACTCTGCCTGACTTCTTCTTTTTCGGGATGCACCTCTCCTGAGCTTGGAGGAGGCAATCCCTAAATACCACCCAGCTCTCCTGGGCCCCTCTCCGCTCTAGTTCTTTTTCCCATGCTACCTTGCCAATCAGATCTCTCAGGAGATCAAAGTCCGCTCTTTTGAAGTCCCGGGTAGCCAGCTTGCTGCACATCCTCCTTACTGCCTTATGAATCTTGAATTCTATCATCTCATGATCACTGCAGCCGAGGCTACCCTTGAATTTGACATTCCCGACCAGCCCCTCCTTGTTGGTAAAGACAAGGTCCAGCACTGCTCCCTTCCTCGTTGGTTCTTCAATTATTTGAAAAAGCAAGTTGTCGTCAACACATTCCAAGAACTTCCTGGATTTCCCGTGCTCCGCTGTGTTGTCCTTCCAACAGATATCAAGGTGGTTGAAGTCCCCCATGAGTACCAGAGTGTGTGAGTGCGATGCTGCCCCTATCTGTTTATAGAGGGCCGCATCCTCACTGTCACTTTGGTGGCCTGTAGCGGACTCCTACTGTAACATCACCTGCCCCCATGCTCCCTTTAATCCTCACCCATAAGGTCTCTGTTGTGTCTTCATCCGTCCCCAGTTGGAGCTCCATACATTCCAGGTGGTCCTTGACATAGAGGGCAACACCCCCTCCCCTTCTGCCCATCTTGTACTTCCTGAAGAGTCTGTAACCCTCCATTCCTACACTCCAGTCATAAGAGCCATCCCACCATGTCTCAGTGATGCCAATAAGGTCATAGCCTTGGAGGCGTGCGCACATCTCTAACTCCTCTTGCTTATTCTCCATGCTGTGTGCATTTGTGTATAGGCACTGCAGCTGGGTGCCTAAAGGGGCTGACTTTTTAGCTGAGATGGTAGGTTGATGGGTCTCCTTGAGTTTTTTTCTGCTTGACCTGTGTTTAGCCCCCTCCCCCTTCGGACCTAGTTTATAGCCCTTTCAACAAGTCCTGCCAACTCGCAGGCCAGTATCTTCCTACCCCTCTGAGACAGGTGTACTCCGTCTGCTGCTATCGTATCTGGTGCCATGTGAATTTCCCTGAGGTCAAAAAACCCAAAATTTCGTTGGTTGCACCAGTTTCTGAGCCACTTGTTAATCATGTACGCCTTTTTATTTCTTTCAGTATTCTTGCCTGCAACTAATGGTATTGCTGAAAAAATTATCTGTGCCCCTGATCCCTCAACCAGTTTCCCCAATGTCCTAAAGTCCTTTTTGATTGCTTTTAAGTTTCCAGTATTGATCTCATCATTTCCCACCTACATAACTACTAAGGGGTAGTAGTCAGAGGGCTGTACCAGAGTAGGCAGCCTTCTGGTTACATCTCTACATGCTACATCCAAATGTATTCTCCTGTACTAGAGATGTTGGAGTCATATGCTAGTCAAGTCAGAGAAAACCAAAGAGAAACAAGTTCACATTGGTACCTTGCACAGCGTGAGACTGCAATTTGTACAGTACTTCAGACTACACAGAAAAACTGCACAGACTTCCATTTTACTGTTGCAGCTAATCCTGTAAAAATTAACGTATAGCAAATGCTGGTAGAATAGGTAGGTCCCTGGGCTGTCAAAGATTATTTATGCTAAATTCTTATCCTTAAAGAGGTTGAACTTGAAATAATAAAAATTTAAAAAGTGATATAGACACCCACCACTGAAAAAATAGAAGCTGAATTCTTCCACCTTATTTGCATGCAGGCAGGTGTTAGCATTGTTCATTTCTACATGAATATACATTTATATTTATACATTTACATTATACATTTATACATTGTTCATTTATACAGCAGTCGTTACCTCTTTCACTAGAAATCAAGGTTAATACAAATAGTGTTAAAGAGGACACCTCCTATGTGACAAGCCATAGTACAGAAATAAATCCAATTAGAAGCCTGAGCTATCTATGCGGAGAGAACAAGCCCTGCAAAGGTGTTTTCCAGTCTCAATACACGAAAAGAGTAAAACCAAGAATATGATTTCCCGTTCATTCCAGTATTCCCCGGGATGAAAGCTCACCGACACACCCACACAAAGGAGCTCAGAGAGACAACCATATGAAGCGGGGGCGGGGGGGCGCCACAAAAAATACCCTGCCGAGCTACTTCCAGGCCCAAACCCGGAGCCAGGCCCATCTCCGCATGCCCAGAGGGCACGATGGCAGGCGGGAACCCAAACTAAGGACGCCCGAGGAACAACCACCCCCCGGGGCATCCCAGCAGAGCCATCAGACCCAGCGCCCAGGTGTGATAGCCATCACGCCGAGGCATCAGGAGCAACCCTCCGGATCGCATTCTAAACTCGGGGTTTTGGTGCCTGGGGCTGGGAGGGGCAGGCCAGCAGGAGCCCCGAAGCAAGGCCGCGGCCCTAGGAACGGGAGAGGCCCCAGCGGACCCGGCTGTCCCGGGAAGGAGACGCGATGCCTGCGCTTACCCGTGTCCTCTTTGCGTAGGGCCCGCTCCAGCTGCTTCGCCTCCTTCTCCAGAGTGAGAGAGAGGGCGCGCAGCTTCCCGAAGAAGTCCCTCGACGCGTCCATGGCCCGGCAGGGAAGGGGAGCCGCTAACGGCCGCCCTGAGGAGAGCCGGGCCGCGCGCCGCCTGAGGAAAACGGCCACTACTGCCCGCCGCCAGCTTCGAACGGCGCCCAGCGCGCGCCTCATTGGCGCCGCCAGGCCCCGCCCGCCGCCAAGATCTCGCCAGAGCTCGCGACACCTGCCGCCCGCCGCCATCTTGCTGCCCACCGCGGGGGCCGGAGCCGTTAGGGGGTCGGTGAGTGAGAGCTGGTGGGGGGGTTGTGTGTGGGGTGTGCGGTCCGTCAGCGGCCGGGCTCGGGGGGGCTCTTGGCGGGCTGGCCCAGCCCTGAACCGGGAGATGAGGCCGGCGGGGAGCGGGCAGGGGCTCCTTTTCCCCGGGCAGCAGCGCTCGCCCGCGCGGGCCGAGCCCTGGGGCCTGGACGGCTCCTGTGTCACGGGCGAGCCCCGGCGGGCAGCTGGGCCCTGTCCGCCCCCATCCCGTTTTTCATAAATAATTTATGGAGGACATGCTTTAATCTCAACGTAAGGATAACTGAGTAAACTGTAGCTAAAGAAAGATTTCCATTTTCCTTTTTTGCCTTATCTTTCCAATATGCCTGGCATTGTACTATCTACTGTATGTAATCATAGACTCATAGAATCGTCTAGGTTGGAAGAGACCCTTGGGATCATCGAGTCCAACCATCTACCCTACTCTACAAAGTCCTCCCCTACACCATGTCCCTTAGCACTGCATCTAAACGGCCCTTAAACACAGCCAGGGATGGTGACTCCACCACCTCCCTGGGCAGCCTGTTGCAAATATCAGGTTCTGACCTTCTAACCAGCCAGCTAAAAGGCAGCGGAGTATGTGCAGATTTTTGATTTTTCTTGTTAAATTTTTAATTTATGTATTTATGTCCCGATGTAATGAGCTTTTTTTTTTTTTTTTTTTTTTTGTCCATATTTTAAGGCACAATGTTTTTAACAACAGTACTACTCCGCAAGAGAATTCCTGGGAAACAATGGATTGGAAAATACAGGCGACCAAGACCAGTTACCAATGCAATGAAGCAAGCAATGATCCGAAGGCTGGAAATCGAAGCGGAGAATGAATATTGGCTGAGTCGACCTTACCTGACACGGGAACAGGAGTACAAACATAATACAGAAGAGAGACGTGCAAAGTGGGAAGCTTACAAAAGACTGGTGGCAGCCAAGTTTCCTGAGCACAGATACATGAGTGATCATTTAGACCACTTAAATGTGACGAAAAAGTGGACATCTTGAATAATAGGGCATATTTCTTTTTGGCACCTATTATGCACTACCATGGGATCTGCTGTTGTACCTATTATGGTAGCTTTGTGATTTGATAGAATAAGGGTAGATGACACATGAGACTTTGTTACAGTATACAAAATCTTACATTAAAAGTAGTCCTACACAAGAGTGTATGTTTTCTTATTGCTGTCTCTTTAGAAAAAGACAGTTCTTTCTGTAGCTCTCTGCCATCTGCCTGTCTTCTGTTCTCTAGGGGTTTTCTATAACTCAGTGTGCAGTACCAAGTGCAGTGATGATGATTTGAACTAGATGTTAAAGCTTCACTAATTCCCCTTTGAAAGCTGGAACACACCTGCTGTGTTGAAAGGGATTGTGTGCTGGTACTGACCAGATGGCTCTTACTGCTCCCTCTCCCTTCTGAAGGGACACTTCTCTACACGTTAATACTCGAGATGATGGCACTTACACGCTGTTCACTTCATCAGGCATGTGAAGACCAAAATGAACTAGAATGACAAAGTTAGGTGTGTGAGGCTGGAACTCATGGAAAATTGTAAAATGTTCCTGGTTTTTTAAACTTTCTGGAAGGAACCATTGAATTTAAATGCCAGTGCCACTGTCATGTCAGCGGCAACTTGGGTGTTCCTGCCCTCTTTTACAGAGATTATTGACTGGCAATCTGATTTCTAAGTCATGTTTAGTGTCCTGAAGGAACATAGTCAGCCACAAGTTGGAGCTGTTTTATTTCCCGTCTCAAGACCCAAGTGACCTGGAAGATGTGTCAGGAGTGAGTGTAATCTTAGCTTTGCTGCAGCCAGAGTGTAAAAATCATGGAACAATTACAAACTGTTTCCCAGGCAGGCAGTTTTTCTCACTGATCTAATACACACATGATACAGCTGAACAATTTTCAGATTCTTTCACATACTTTTATTAAGTTGATGTTGCATTCACTGATGAGTTCAAGTGTCAAGTCCATTCATATTTTATCTCTTTGGAAAAGAGGCCTAAAATGGTACAACTTTTTTTTTTATTATTATTTAACATGAATTATACTTCAGAGAAGTATGAACAGGTCTGAACACTGATGTACAAAATCCTGAATGCACTTTCAATGGTTATAAATGGCTTAAGATAACATTTACGGAAAAGTATACATACGGGGAAATTGCACAATACAATTAAAACATGACGGAACTTCCAGGCAAAGCAATGTGATTTAATATTTAATTCATTTTATAAAAGCCCATTTTAAAAAGTTACTTCAAGTATTAAACTATAAATGGCAACATGTTTTCTCTGTGCATAGGACTAGTCCTACCTGTAACATACAAAAACTTACAATAAACGTGTCATTATTACATACACCTTTTACACTTCACTTCCAACTTGAATACAGCTCATTACAAGTTTCGGCAGCACAATTAAAAATAACTGTGGAAGCAGAACAGCTGGGACATTGTGATTAGTGCAAATGTTTATGACCCTTGCTGGCAAGTTCAAAAGTAATTGCAGCGATAACCCGGGGATGTTTAATTCATCCAAGTTAAAAAGGGGAGAGGGAGAGGAGGCAGATTTTGAGCAGCAGGATCGCTGCCTCTTTCTGGGCTGTTTTTGATTGTGAATTGCCGTTCAGAAGGATTTAAGTGTCTGAGAATAAAGCTGATGGCAAGGGGTTGAGGGAGAGGAGAATGCTCAGAGAAACGTGCCGAGCATGGAAGTTGTCAGCCAGGCGACGTGCAGGGAAGGGACTCTGCCTGTCACCATGAATGCTTTGGTGCCAGTAGAGGTGATCCCAGTGCTTCATCCCAACCCACCCGCCTGCCTGCTGAGCACGTGCTCTCTGCCTCTTGGGGAAGAAAAATGGGGACACCCCTTTCCCCAGCCCCAAAACAAAGCAAACAATCCTGTAAACATTATCAGACTTTACTACCTAATGGAAACAAGATTCAAGTAATTGCTGCAGAAAACAAACAACCAAACACCAGGTTTAATCAGCAATAAAACTAACTACAACTTGCAGCTTCATTACATTTCATGACAGTTACGTAGTTAAGAAAAATGCATATAAAAAGCTGTCTGTATATATACAAAATAAATTGATAGAAATGAGTGTAGTAAGTGAGTTCAGTATTTTAACAAATCACTTTATATGCAGCTGCTCTCTTTGGTGCCATTTAGGGATAGAAGAGCCTCAGATGTTACATACCTGGATATTTTTTAGGTACTGTGAAAGATGTGTTCTTGATCTGCACTGAGTTGAAGTAGCTGCTATTTGGAGCCTCTGTAAGTGCATACCTGAATCCCCCAATTACATACAATTTTAGACAGTGTCTTCAGAGAACATATACTATGAAGCTCAAAGTTTGTTGTTTTGTTGTGGTTTTGTTTGTTTGTTTAATTTTTAATCAGCATGATCAGTCAGTGCTCCAGCTCTAGGCAGCTCGGGTTAATTTCTGTCAGTCAACGCACCTCCTGGTCAATCTGCCAGGGGCCAGCGCTGCTGCAAACGCTGCTTTTGCCTCCTCCTGGGGCCCTGGGGAGCTACAGCTGGACCACACTTCAGCTGCATCAAGAAAGTCAAGTGTGTATCGTGTGGTATTGAACTTAACCAAACCTCCCAAACCCCAAAAGATTATTTACAATACAGAATAGCCACGCAAGACCAAATGAGGGAAGAAACAGTACCTGAAAATGGTAGGCATTTAAGCAGTCTGGAGACCAGGCCCAGTTTCTAAGACCAGCACACACCACCAGCAGGTCGGTACCTGTGAATTCCACACTCAAGGGGCAGCTTTAACAAAAACGTTACCGTAGTATCTACTCAAATCACTAAAAATAAAAGTGCCCGAAGTCCCTCTAAAATAACCCTCTGAATGTTTAAAATGGAAGTTTTCAACCAAAGGGTTATGATGCATCTAATGTGACACTGCAATCTTGGTGTAATACTGTTGGAAATGAGTGGTGACAGAAACCTACACACCTCTCCCTGCCCTCCTCCTATCACATGCCTTTGGTAGGAGCAGCAGTTACGTGTGTATCTTGTACAGTCCATAAATAAATCACTGTGAGAAAAAAACACAGAACAGTATTAATTGTTTTAAGTAGTTTTAAGAATTCTTTTCAATTTATGGATTTCCTTGCCTCATCTCCACCAGGACAGGTTTATCATCTTAATTCATTTCAGAAATCTGGAGAAGAAGTCACACAGAAATCTTGCCCCTATGTCAGGCTTCTGTCCTCACACTGGGAGTTTAATGTCATTTTGTGTGTATGACTCCTGTGTGGATGTGGATTTTTTTTTAAAAAGAAAAAAGCAGTAAGAAATACTAAAGCATAGTTTGTAATTGCAGCCAAAGTCAACCATCCTACAGTAACTACAATACTACTTATAGCTTGCAATAGGAATTCTTTGATGGCTCTAAAAGCTTAAGGGCTGTTATTTTTAGTGACGATCTAGGTATTTTCAAGACCTGCTGATACAGAGTAAGTTAAAGCACAAACCCAGCGTGTACCGCATGACCCAGCACCCCGACCAGTTTTTTTCTCAGGACCTATCTCCCATTTGGGCCTCCTGAAGAGGCAGGGCTGCTCTTCCTGCTGCATTCCCTGGAAGTTTTTAGTTCTTCAGCGCATGGGCCAAAAGGACCTATGTCCTGGAGCACCCCTATGCCCCCCTGCCTCTGCTGTTTGCATCTCAACAGCCAAACAGCAGTTCGTTCTCACCAACTCTTTAATTCCTGGCTTGCTCCCTCCTTTTGCCTTTCCCAGTCTTTGATACAGCACAGAATGTCCTTGCTTATGGCTCAGGAGCTGGCAGGACAGCTCAAAGACAGAAGATGTCATCCTGCCACCTTAGATGTGGTACCTCCTCCACAGCCAGAGCCTGCCAGGAAAACCTGACTCCCCAGTCCCACTCACTGGTGGGCCCTTATTGCTCATCAATACAGTTCCCTTAAAGAACTTAATTCCTTTCTATCAGTCTGGGGTTTCTCTTCATAACCAGTTCTCTGGGAAGAAAAAAGGGGGAGGGGGGGGGGAAGGGTTGAGAGGGAGGGATGTGTAAGAATCATACTTGAATCATTTCACTACATTTCATATTTGTCAAACTGACTTTTCAGTAATGCCTGCTTTTACACCAACAGTAAATCTGGCCTCAAGAGTATCCTAAACATCTGAAACACGAGAAAAATCTGGGACAAAATGTACCCGTGATCTCCACAAAGATGTCAGAAATAACAGCTCTTCATGAAAAGCCACAGGAACGTCCACCAGATGTGGAAGAGCTGGCTTCAGAAGACCAGCATTTGCTACGGAACACACATGGATTTAGCCCAGTCTGTTTACTCGCAGTTGTTCCTGTAGATTAACTATCCTGACTTAAGAAATCAAACAAGTTATAGTGATGATAGCCTACAGTATATATACATTCACATGGGGATATATTGCGCACTTTGTGAGGGGGGTGATATTTACCATATTAGAGACCTAGATTTTGCTTATAGTTCTGCTAGAGGATGACTGTGCACGTGTGATCTCAGCTGCAAGACGCTGATGCTGTAAAAGCCAGATGATACCCCAGGCCCTCTGTTACAGCTGCACCAGTGCTTGGGACTCCAGATTTTGGAATTCAGAACGAGCCATTTGAACTTGCAGTCTTCTCTCTCTCTGGTCTTCCCCAAGAAATTCTGCTGGTGCAGTACTGCTCACTGTTTGAGAAGAAAATGCTGAACCTTTCAGATTAATGCGTATCAAATGCTTTAGTAAGTTTTGAAAGTAGCAAATGCAAAATTTCTTGTACAAAGTTTGAAGATACATTCTGCAACTTCTATAAAACATGCAAGTTTGGACTACTTCTGTCTCAAGAACATCCAACAGCAAACAAAGCATGTTCATAGGTTCTCAAAGTGTTCTTGTTCTAAAAGATTAAAGTCTAAGAAAAATTTATTCTTTCCGAAGAAAAAAAAAACAACTTGTTTTAAACCTTACAGTATATTTGATACCTTACTATCTCCATCATAAACGTATTTGAATTAAGTAGCAATCAGCTTGGGAGAGAAACCAAACAGGTTCTTTCGGTCCAGATCAACTCTGCTACTACCTTCAGTCTCAAAAGGGCTCATGTCTATTTGTAATCAGCATCAACTGAACATCAGAAAAGTTACAGACAGGAAGAGAGTATCTGTCACTTTTTCCAGGTGCAGAATTCCAATCCCACCCGCAGACGAGTTAGCGGTCTTCTCTACAGAGGAGTGAGGGGAAAGAAAACCACGTTGCTTGCTGTAAATCTTGAGCTTGAGAGAGACTTCGTTCCTCACACAAGAAATACATTTTGCCTTTTGTGAAGAGGTACATCACTGCACAAAACAACCTTTAGCAATGTCAGCGTCACTTGAACTGGACTTGAAAGTGGCAGACTAAAGCATACAGATTTTCAGTGTGTTAACACAGATGTATGATCTGACACTAATTTTCTCTTAAGTACTTTGCATTTGTTTAAATGGTACTTTAGTACCAATAAAAACTTGTGCCTTTATTAAAAAGATAAAACAGAAGTATAAAACAGTATTTATAAACCATCAAGAGTCCCATAGAAAAAGCAGTACTCTTCCAGTTCCGTTTTCTAACAACACACAACTGCAGTAAGATTTTTCTCAGGGGTACTTTACCATTTTGTTACTGCCTCATACAGAACACTGCAGACATTAACAGAAAATGTAACAATCATTAGTTCCTTTTTGGATTGGCTTTTCTTTGTACGCTGATAGACAATTGCTGGAAAGTAACAATCCGTGTTTTTTTCAACTAAAAACCAAGTTTGCTTCTTTGAGCTCTATTCTTGATATGGTTAAATAAACCAAGTTAAAATGATGAGGTGGCTCAATCCCATAACAAAAAAGCAACACCCAAGTAAAAGGCTTTTACGTTGTTGGCATTGCCTTGCTCCAAAGCACAGCTAGTAGAAGGAATCCTGAAAGACCTGGAGAGCTATGAACATGGGGTAGACTGGTTAGTAGAAAGAGGGTAGAAGACATCATCCAGTCCCTTCCCTGTCACCTGGTGTTTGAACTATGCATAGTTGCACTTCAGACTCACCGGCCATGCTCTATGTTGATTTCTCTCTTTTTTTCCTTTTCCATTTCTTTCTGTACCTTGGAGACCTGCTACGGAAGTGACTTCTGCAGTGCCTAAGGTATGAAGTTTGCCCGTGGGGAGGTAGGAGTCTCTGCAGTCTACCCCCACCACTGCAGCATAACAGAAATGCATAGTTCCCACCCTGGACCTTGTGCATCCAAGCAGGGCACTTCAGGATTTGGCCCTTTGGTAGCAGTATGTAATTCAGTGTTGCATAAATGCACATTAAGAATCTTAAGGCATCTGTCTTAACTTCCCTGCTCTGCAATAGTGCTTACAAGAATCCATTGTACTGTGCAGAAATTTGTATTTCTTGTCTCTTCCTAAAATGTTCATGTTCCATTTTTCACTGATCAACTTCTTCCAAACAAAATTAAGTAATATTCAAGCACAAAATGTGTTGCAGAAACCTAGTGAAACAAAAAAGGTAATTAGTGGAACTATACCATTAGCTTTCAAAATACAGGAAACAGTGCATTACAAGAACACAGCTGGGTAACACGTAATTTACAGACTCCTGGTTCAGGGCAGTGGTTAAGGTAACTTCAACTCATAATTAGGCTTCTGGGAGGTGTGGGGTTTGTTGTTTTTTTTTTTAAACCTCTTATGTTTTAGAAGATTATCTGCACTAAGAACATCAATCCATCACCACTGACCTGTGGCTAAAATCTGTTGGATCCCTGATTCCAAGAAATGCTCATTCATTTTAAATTACATTGATAGATACGGGGACAGAAGTGATATTTGCCTAAGTAAGGCTGGAGGACTGGCCTTCTTTTGGAAATCATGCTCTTTTCTCTAGAATAATCTGGGAATTTTACTTGGCAGCCATAACTTCGATTGCTTCTGCTGTGTGTTACAGGCATAAAACTGAAAAATACAACTGTCAGTCTGTTACAGGGTGTGTGAAAGCGCATGGAACAGATGTTGGATCTCACAGCTATCGCACAGTTCCTTACAGGTGCAGAGGGACTGGAATTAACCACTTTGCCCTACAAAAACTGTGATAAAACCCAACTGAACTCAGAACAGCTGAAACGTGCTACTGAGTTAACCATTACTTGAAATAGCACATACCAAAATGCTTTTGTGTTGGGTGCAATTATGCACTACTTCCTTATACAACTTTTAAAACTATAGCAGTGTGGGCAAGTGCAACAGAAAGTACACAGTCTTCCTTTACTAAATTTGGCCTGACTTTACGAAAAGAGGATAGAAAAGAAATTAATCCCAAACTATTATCAGTTAATTGTCTAGCCTAAGCCAGTGACTTATGCTCCCTCTCTAGGACAGTGGAAACAAAGATTAAGACCTGTCTATAATACCCTATCAAAGGCTGCTGGGATGAACAGCTCTCAGAAGCTATCTAGTCCTTTCTATGAAGAATAGAAAAGTCTTAATAACCCATTTAGATCAGATTAGTTTTTATATAGCTAGAGGCTGGAAGGAGTCCCTTGCCTGAGCCTTGCACATGTCCCTTGCACATTTATATCAATGTTAACGAAAGTTGCAACGGGAAAACTCATTATTGGTGGGTTCTCATGGTTGAGTAGGTTTTTTAGAAGCACCACTGACTTGTCCAATTTTGGTTTTGTATGAGTTTACACTGAGCAGTCTGACCAACTTCAGTCCAAGCATCACACCATCCCCCACAAAGGCATTCTAGACAGGTTTTTTTTTCCTTGAAAACAAACAAACAACAAAACCCCCAAATCTGCACTAAAACAATTATTCTAGATCAGAACGCTTATTAAAAAAAAAACCAAACAAACGTAAAAATGAAGTGATCCTAAAATTACTGAGCTCACAAAACTCAAATATTGTGTTTTCTTTCCAAAGAAAATGGGAATTCCTTC